ATATAAGGTGCATTTAAAAGCATTTGATAACTTCTACTGCATTGCCAAGTATCTCACGTGATCTTAAATCACCCATGTAGACCACGTTAAATCCATAGAGATTGTGTTTGCATGTTTCTTTTGACTCCCTAAAATATTTGCCAGACAGAGTACCATACTGAAACCGACATGATTCTTAAATTACTGTTTTTTTTATTGTATGTTTGTCTAAGGTTCACGCGTAAATTATACTGATTGCTTCAGCTTTGTTGTCTTGGAGGGTCATATTATTTAAAATGGCAAATGATTAATAAGTTTATACGAATTTATTTTAGTTCGATTATGTTGGAAGCTCGAAACTTATTTAAACACTCTTAAATCCGTTCCTGGAACCAACAAGTACTAAGTAATTAGTGTAAAGTTTCTTGCTCAAGGAAACAACGGCGTGCCGCTGTCTGGGTTTAAACTCAGGCAGCGGGCCATCTCTAGATGACTAACCACTCGGCTACCGCGCCACTTATTGTTACTTTAATTTGATTAACGAATTTATTCTTATTAAGGCTACTATAAGGGATGATTAAAAATAATCTTGTTGTATTTAGGTGTATCTCATCACAACATTGCCAAAGACAAATGACAAAGTTAATAGTCAAGCCAACTTTCTATATTTCATATTTACCGCAATAATATCCAGGCGCTTAATTCTTACTTTTAATACAATGTATATGCAATTAGACATTTGTTAAGTAAAGTACAATCATCATAGTAATAAATGCTGATTCACATAATTCATTTGTTTATGGTATAAATCTGAGCAAGAATTCAAGCACGTGTATTTGAGAGCTTACGCATGAAAGTTTCAAATATTTTTGAAAAAGTCACAAATAAATGTAGATATATTACTTTATCAATATGATTCTGATAATTTCCGAAAGAAAGCATTTGCGTCTTCTTTCTAGAATGTTTGATATTGTATACAGTGATTGAATTATCTCTATGATGTATTCCTACATTACTCTATCACAGCAAGAGAACATCTCCATTGTCTTATTCACAAATAGGTAATATCTTATTCACCAGCATAACTACTTTACAATTATAGAATACTATTAAGGTAAATAGCTATTAGAAAAAGAGAATAGCTTTAAATCTAGAACGATTAAAATGTTTATTTAAGATGTATGAACTGATGAAACATGAAATTGATTGACTGATGCATGCTAACGTTCTGTAGGTTTTGACAGTTTTTAAATAGACCTGATAAATGATATCAGGCGCGTCATTTTAAGCTTTTTATATTTCACAATAGCACGTGTCAAGTGCCGTATGGCAGTTATAAAATGCACTGTACTTCACTTCAGTGTTGTTATATTTTTCTGGTCCTTCGGGATCATTTATTCAATCATTTTAAGTGTTGAACATTGAGTACCGCTCAAGTCGGTGCTGGGTGGCATGAGGGATGTTGTACTTTTTAATTATCCCTCATGTAGAGACTCAATTAAACCGTGTCTGCAATTTTCATGTTATTTTGTTGTGATTAATGCTTCCGAGGGATCAAACTTGTTCTAGATGTTTTAAAAAAGCAAATGTCTTTGAAGAATAACATTGCATTGGTCTTTTTAACAACATGTTGTCTAAACACTTTTTTTGTTTGTGTAGGATAGTTTAGCATGAAAAATGCCCTTACATATTTTAGTACTATTTATCCTTTTTAATGTGTGTAGAAGATTGGTACAGATACGTTTCAATGTAACTTAAATATGGCATATGTTAAAATAACTTACATTGTTACCAGCAGACAAATAAATATCGTTAGATTTTCTTAATACTATTTAATCATTCAACTAGCACATTTAAACATTGGCCTGTATTTTTATTACGATATTTTTCTGTCAAATATCATTTCAAAATATCTAAAGCATGACACACAATAGCGGTTAGTCAACTGAAGTTTCTTTACATGTTATTTATAATTCATCAAAATGTTATCATTCAATAATTTTTTGATTATACAATTTATATGAATTGAACGACAATGATTTATTTTCCGAATGGAGAATTATAATAATAGCAACCCTATAATAATACATTAGAAACACTAGCAGTCAATTGTGTTATGTCGTTTATTCTAAGGCGCCAAGCTTATTTAATCGGTGATTTAATTTGAAAGTCATTTCATTTAAACTTGAAAACATTATTTTTGCTCGAAAATTACATTGATATGTCTTAAAATGATTTTCCCCATAGCTCAACTTGAACTACAAAAACAAAATGTTCATGCATGAAAATGATCAAGACTGAAAAAGCAAATTGGAGACTTTATGTTTTTGCTTTTTTGTTAATAAATGTAAAATTCAATAATGCGAATGCGGTTTAACTGCTTTACAATCATTCATTGCCAATTATTTGAGAAATATTACTAGCATCATGGATACTGACAGCATAACTGAGCAAACACATAATGAGATTGTAGAAATGAAAAGTAAAAACTTAAACAGAAAAGAAAATTAAACGTACTTCTTGATAGTTCAACAGGTAAGTTTAGTCCATGATATACTAATAATTTGGGCTACCAATGTGATAACCTAGACTGGTTTTATTTTGTATGACCTCTTAGCTGAATAAAGATGTCACTAAAATAATAGATTAAACTAATTGTTTTAATTGTGTGGAAATAATTGCTTTTTGAATATTGTGTTATTCCTTGTTGTCAGTTGGTTCTAAACCATTCAGCAACGTTTCCTTTAACCGTCATCTGAGATTTTTGAAGCTTTTTTCTAAGACTACATCAAAAATGTCTTTCGAATCTAGCTTATTTGATAATATCAAATCTCCCCAAAAATATTATATATCAAATTGTAACGTCAATGCAATAGATGCAGAAGGAAAAGGAACCGAAAATAGATTCCCTATTGCACGACACAACCAAATTTAGCAATGTTACATATACATTGTATCGAGACAATCATCTTGAACAACCATACTTCTGGAAGAAGCTTAATAAAAACAGAATTTATATATGATAGTCTGTTTATATGGATTATTTATCCAGAGATTCTTAACGGGCTAGTCACTGCATAATGATAGCAAATTGTGTAGCTGTCAACCTTTTATGAATATTGTAACATAAACAACGTTGATTAATGCCTACTACTATACAGCCTTTATTTGTATTCAATGTTATTGTCACTAAATCATTGCATGTTTTGGATATCGAAAGGCATTATTTGCCAATCGTCATTACAAATGCATCGATTTTCTATTTCACATGTTAGAAAAATGCATCAAATTACATTTTGGATTAATTATTAGATATTTACATGTTTGAAGAATTTATTATTTTACACCAATTTATATATACTTTTATCAGTTTTTATCCCGAGTTATAAAATAGTTATCATAACAATATAGTTACGCGTTATGTTCTTTAAAATACAGTAAAACTTCTACAGAACGGCCCTCCGTGGCGCAATAAATAAAAAGTTTCAATAAATAAAACCTCAATCAGCAAAAACTTTTATTATTTACTCTCCAACATGGTTTTGCCCTGCAGAGGTTGAATTTTAATACTATGCTAAAGGAAGCAACAATTGTTTCCATATGTTTATGTCTCGCATCTTACAAATATTTTGCGATTTCTCTCTTACATGTCTTAACATTATTGTATTCTGATATATGTTTACTTCGAGTTTTATTTGAATAGTCAAAAAGGTTTTCATGTGGCTTCTTGAATCGAAAGGTAATATCTTTTGTTTTGTCCAATTTATTGGATTTGCATCATACTTTTTATATAATATTTATATTATAGTCGCTTACCATTTATCAATAATGTGACAATTCTGCATAATCTCTTTTGAAATGCATCATATAAATTCTAATAAATAAAACATAGAAAATATGTATCAAGAACAGGATCTCGTTTATCAGTCACCAATGCGTTTAGATTATGACATTTGAATGATTCTTCATGTGATTTATTTGAGTGATATAAGTTTCTGATCGTACTTGTTTAATTGTAATGTATCCATCCCTATTCTATGGAAAAACATATCTGTCAGCAATTTATCTTTTTTACAGTTCTGGTTTCTTTTTGTGTTTTTGTTTGTTTTTGTTTTTAATCCATCTATATTCTTGCTGGAAGAAACATATCTTTCAGCAATATTACTTTTGTACAGTTCTCAGGTTTCCTTCGTGTTTTTTTTTTCTTTGTTTTTGTTTTTTATCCTTTGTATAAACTATAGGGCATCTTGTTCTTTTGTTACTCTTTACATTATCATAACCAACCCTGCAGTTATAATGTATATGTATTTACGTATGCAGTAAAAAATGTAAACAATATTTTGATAGCAAATATATCATGAATGATGAATAAGAACATAAGAACAGTAATGATTTGTTTGACTGTTAAATTAAAAAGAAAAAGAACAGCATCATAAACCTCGTAGAAACCACTATATAACAAATATAATGATCTCAATGGGATTATTCACTTTGCATAATTATACTTGCCATGTAATAAATGGCTGGTTAGTGCAGATCTCCTGAGATTAATGGAATACTTTACATAATTATTTTTGCAGATAAAGACCATTGTTGCTCACTTATATTGGCCCTTCTTTGAATTTCGGTGATTTTTTAAATTTTCTTAGTAAGATTGGTACATAATTAGTAATGCCAAAATGTTTACAAATTTAAATATCTAACAATCGACTATGTATTTATTCGATGACATGCGTGAGTCCAAGTTTTCCATTCCGATAATTTTCTAAGATTACATATTCTCTTCGATTTACTTCATAGATCATAGTTCTAAATATCTGGCAGCCGATATTTATTAACGTGTTTATAACACAGAAGTTTAGCTTATGTCTCAAGCTTCTACAAATTTTTATCAAAGGTGTAACACGATACGTTCTTAACGTCTATTATTTTGTCATTGAATGCCCATGAATCAAATATGCACATTCAAGACAACTCGCTTGGTGATAAATGAGAAATTAGAAAGTAAATGTAATTACGTTAATTAGTAGTATTGATCATAGGTTAATGAAGTATTTTTCTGAATACTTTCTCACTAGAGCTTGTAGCAGCAGTATTGGGTTTTATGAAGAGGGCTATATCTGATGCTGAGTTTCTAGGTAATCATTAAAGTCTGTGATTCTGGACAGACTGGCTGTTCTACAGGAAGATATATCATTCATGACAACATTGTACAAGGATTTATTTTATGGATGATTATTGCGCATGTTTGGTAGGTACATTTCTACGCTTTTTTTTTGTTAATTAGAAAACTATTTTTTAGTATCTCATTCTTGTGTTTTAAACTATTTCATACTATTTTCACAATGTAAATTTATAAATTTATACTTTGATGCTTTTTGCAGTAATGATTGAGAAAGAATTGAAGAACAAAATATCTAAAAGATAACTTAAATTCACAAACAACACCTTTTTTATTGACTTATCCTTATCGTTACATTTTGATTCTTGAAACTCTGTTCTTGAAAATTTAACTGTAAAGAAATTAAATATATATCAGTGTTTTTTGTAGTTTGAAATTTCTGAAACAATATGCAAAGGTATGTGTGCAAATGAAATATGTAAATCTGCAAATGAGTGACTTTTATTTCGTATTAATACTTGTCTACGAAGAATGTCGGATACATGTACACTATCATTTGTCAGCTTTTATGCTCTTCTGATTTTATGTTTATGAAAATATATCATAAGCAACAATTTTATATTTCAAAATATAAAAAGATTTCTTATATTTTTCTGATATATTATGAAAAATTCAAGGTAATAATATTTATTTCCTTTAAGTATTTTCACAAACTGTATGATGAACGTTCTTTTCTTATTCTGTTAAAAAACTGAATCATCTGGAGTCAATATTAATATTTTGGTTAACTAGTATTTCACACAATCTTTCACATATATTTGAGTGAGAAAATTTAAAAAAAGATTCTGAAACGTAAAACACATTAACAGGGATAATAAATTGTAAAGGCCCAATATGACCCCCACTCCCAAAGCTTTTCTATTTTTATTTCACAAAACATTTTTATTTTGGTGTACTTTTAAAACCATATTTTAATATGCGCTTTATATTTATGTCATAAAACTCACGATTAAAAAAAGTTAAAAAGCTTTCGTTTCTTAAAGATGATGTGCCATTATTGCAAATAATTAAACATAAAGAATACTTTCTTAAAAATATACATGTATATCACAGTATGAAATAACAAAATCAAATCAACATTATAACGATTATCACTAGTTACTAAAAGAAAATCTGTATATGTTTAGAAAACTAATTGTAAATTTATACACATCTTTTTGATAAATAGGATCCATGTGGTAATAAACAACATAATTATGTATGGGATGTTATTTTATGATATATGCGATATATGCGATATTGATTTATCTATAATCAAACATATCAAAGGAATATTCTTGTAGACGGCTGATTCAGAGCTATTTATTTTTTTTTTTTTTATTATTTATTTATAGTCGAATATAAAAGATGATCACAAAATTAATACTTTTAATTTAAAATTAAGAAATTTATTGCAAAAAAAACAACAACAGCCAAAATACCAGAAAAAAACCCATAAAAAACCAACAATAACAAAAACAAAAAAAACGACACATCTGTAAGAAATCTGATAATAATTGGCAATTATCTTGACATTCTGATAAAATTATTGATGAATTATGAATAAAATTGTCCCACAAAAATATTGATACATTCAGCATCTAAATTCATATAAAACAACAAAACTCTAAAGTGACTGATTCACATAAATCCTTCAGACATTGAAAGTTCAGATGCTTTTTAGACGATAGCCATTTGGCTTCATTTTGCACCAATGATTTTATCATCACCATGAATGCTCATGGTATCATTGAGTAAAGCTGCAAATAAAGTGCCATTTAATAGATACAGTCTCAAAATGCTCAGTGTCACAGTCTATTCTATTGTACTTATTCATATTCTGTAGTAGCTAGGGAGATGTCCAATTCAGATAGAACGTGATGCTATTCAAATTAAGTAAGGCATATGTCTGGAAGTAATGTATCTATTATCTAAAATTAGATATGCATTTCCTCATTTATAAGAAATTTTAGAAGTGCATTTTCCATTTTTTTTGAAGACGCATTAAAATAAAAAAGTAACATTGAATAAAAGCTAAGGACATACATATGCATTGCCAAATTTTGGCATATGCAATTTTAACTTTTTTCGCAATTACTAAAAATTTCGGGGATTTTATTACAACCATTTTATAACATTTTTCTAATTTCTGCTTGATTTTTATTATTTAATAATTATTTTTATTATCAATAAAATGCTTTCTTTTCATAACATAATATTCCGCCTTTATTTTCTTAATTTTTTTTTGAAAACTTATTAACTTATAAAAAGAATAGTATGACTTATCTATCTGACCACAGATATATCATATATAAAAACGCAAGGAAGTGTTGTCAACCCAACATTGATAAAAACAATGCGTTTTAAAAAATGAACAAAATTAATTCTATAGTACCACATGTAACCATCTCAAATAAATCATAACTATAATATGATTTTGCAACGAAAACAATGAAGATCTGTTTTTTCTCTCATCTTCACAATTACGCAATAAAATGTGCATTTACCTCGTTTTTCTTGGTTATGGCATTATATTTAAATAATTACAAAAAAACAACCAGCTGCTCTTGATGGATTATTTGTTCATTGATTGCCGCAGTGCACATCTGTGATTATTTGGTAATTTGATAATGTCTCTAAAATCTTTAGCGCAGAATGAGATTATTCTTAATCTTGCAACGATATATATACACTTCGCTATTTCTTCTGTGCAGCAAGTCGACGCCTATACTCAATCAGTCATCTTATTGTTTAATCTTCAAAGTTACATGTTCCAAGTTTGTTTGCTTTTCATATAATTCAAACATATTTTATTTTCCATTTCATTCATGGAAATCATTATTTAAAGCGATCATTAATGATGTGAGATATTATAAATAATGATGTAATGATCGTAATCAGTTAATTCAGTCATTCCTTAATTGGTGGTGGAAACAAGGTGACTACTGATAATTGTTATAGAAATGAACAGAAATGTATTAAAAAGTTATTGAGAAGTCGGATGGAATTTAGAGATAGTTAAGATAAGAAAATGATATCTTTATTTTTTTCATCTTTTCACTTGTTTCCAGTACTTAATACTTTCACCGATACACAAACTTATAACATCAGTCAACACAAGTGCAGAAAGCATAGTCATTGATACACGACATACTGTAGGTGCAAATGCTTTTCGTTATTTAATCAGTTTTAATTAGTTTATAAACAGCTCAGATAATCTAAAATACACCACAGGAAAACTAAAATTAGTTTAATTTGTTTATCTTGTACAAAATGGTATATGTGGATAAAAGGTAGTTTCGGCTCTTTGCAATGTTAGTAAACGTTTCATAGGTATCCGAGTTAAAAAGATTTTTGTTTTGATTCAAATAATAAATAGAGGGACATAATTATAAGATCTGTCAACTTGAACCGACCTTTAAACAGTTTCAAAAAAGTAACAGGCAAGATGAATGCAAACGTTTCAATTATTTTCAATAGCATTCATTAATAACAAATGTTTTAACCTTCTTCGTTTCAGTGACTGTGTATTGCAGCATCATCGAGGGGTTCAACAAGTGTGGATTTATCTATACATCCAATAGATATACCCATAAACAGACAGCATTTCAGAAATCATCTTGATAGTTTTGTATCATGTAAATAAAAAGGAGTAATAATGGAATACCCGAAGGGATTTTAGAGTTTATATCTATATAAATTAGGAGATACTATTTGGATTTTAATGTGGCGTGTACACTACGCAACAATGTCGGTACATAGAACAATTGTTATTGCCATAGACGACAGTTTCCATTCGGAATTTGCTTTCGATTGTAAGTAATTATTTGTAGCCTTAAAAATCACATGCAAAAACATTGATAAAAGATTAAAAAATAACATTACATTTGTTAACATTGAAGAGTAAAAATGAGAATTAATGCGTGAGGAAGTAAGATATTGATTATACCATTTACGTAAAAAGTCATTTTAGTAAAAACAAACATAATATGATTGTTTGGGAAAAAAACCCCAAGAACAACAAAAAAAACGAAAAAAAAACTAAACTCAAAACGTGATGTTGAAGATGTAATTATCCGATTGTGTACCGTATAATTACTAGCATAATATGAGTTATAATTTCCTTTAGAGAGAGACATAAATCTCTGCTTTATGGTATTTAGGTGCCATTTCTGGTAATAAATGTCATGTTTTCTTTTGTTTTCTTAACGTCGTAAGCTTTTACAAATCGTTATCTTCTTCAAGAGGTCTTGGGAAAAAATCTGAAATAAATAGAATGAAACAAACAGGATTTGAAATTCGATTCAAATGTAAGCCGTTATCATAAAGAAGTGTATCTCATCTTTTTTTAAGGAACTGTTCTATCCAAGGCCGTTATATATCAAGATGTGTAAACTTATGAAGTTCGGGTATTTTCCTAATTAAGCAACGAGTAGTTAATCTATCTTCCGCAGTGCATTTCATGTTTTATTTCACCAACAGCGAAAACAATATGTTAACTTTTTAAAACAACTCATTATACTGGAAATAAAAGAGATCATATTTAAATATCTTTTTGATTCCAAATAAAAATATTCTTCCAATCAATATCATTATTTAAATCACTTCTTGAATGTACATGTAATTTTGTGTCAATCATATCAGCTTTGTTTGATCTTTAGTTGATGCATTGGTTTGTGTAAATGTACTGTTAACCATGCGCTTTAACGACATTTATTTTACGTTATTAAAGATAAAATTACATTAAACGTAAACACAGGTCATGCTGTTTGATATCTGCGGTATAAAAGACATGTTTTTATTAAAGTTTACTCGTTAACAACAATGGAAATATTGGAATGAATTTTACCTTTCATATATCGTACATATACTATTAATAGGTTATTACATGTTGCTACTGTTTGTTATTTAAAAAGAACAGTACCTTGGAACATATAAAGATGCAGACATATGATTTTAAAAATCTGGCGACTGTTCCTGGAAATTATATTAATCATCTTTCTAATTGAATTAACCCGCAAGTGTTGTAACTTAAAAGTCAAGGACAAACATAAATCATTTTTGTGCCAAATTAACAGCGACACATTACAATCATTTGTTGTACATTTAATACATATATATCTAGTGTTGGTTTCTTTGTTTTATGATAACATTTATTATTTTGCTATAATTGCAGTTTATGTGGAAAATGTACATAAAAATGGGGACCGGCTAATTCTTGTTCATGTACCTGAGTATAGCAACGTATTATCAACATGTAAGTATACGTTAATTATTCATGTTTCTTTGTTACATGTATATCTCTGTTCTTGATTAAGATTTAGATTAATATAAGATATACAATAAAAGTTTATAATGAAATAGATTATAATGAAATGACATTTTTACATAACTTTTAAGTCATTCTTAACTAAGATGAATATACTTTCTAAAATTCGTTTTAGTTATATTTAGATATTGTCTATCTCTAAATATGATTTAAATTAATGAGCCGCGCCATGACAAAACCAACATAATGGGTTTTTGACCAGCATGGATCCAGACCAGTCTGCGCATCCGTGTCTCTAGTAGAAATAGGGTTTGTAAGCGAACAGCATGTATCCTGATCAGACTGCGCGGATGTTAAGGCTGGTCTGGATCCATGCTGGTCGCAAACGCACTTTGTTGGTTTTGTCATGAAGAGGATCAAATATGATTTAAATTTATTTTTAAACACACTCCACAGTTGGGCCAGGTAAATATCCTTATTTATTTATTGAATTTCTGGATAAATCATAGTATATGTTCTGCCTGATGTAATTCTTTAATTTGTTGTTGTTTGTAATATCACGATTCTCAATATTGCAGACCGTCGCTTTATATGAGCCAATGCAGTGATATGGAAAATTGGAATAACAAAAAAAACCTTTTTTACTGGAATCTTAATAAATTGTCAATGTTCTTCTGAATTCAAACAATGTTCTATCTCAACTTAACAATTGGCTGTTATTAAACACTCACATTTGTTGTTAAATAAGTTGTTTTCATGTTATTTAAGTAAATAACAAGGATATATTTATGTTCACCGGAATACATTATACTTCTACGTTACGTTTTGTTTTGAAAATGAAATTTTCTTCTCTATTCCAACTTTGTTTTTTAACTTGTATTGTTGACTTTAAGGCTTCTATTGTGTGTATGGTGATAAAATATTCAATATGTTACTCGTAAAATATTCAATCTGTATAACAATACATTTTAGATTTGCTAAATTAGGCGTCAGTTAGATAGATTAATGTCTCTAACAAGAAATTATTTGTATACAATTGTAGCACTTGTTTATTGGTAAAGACATCTATTTCTTGTTGTTCTTTTTAAACATAACATCTTTTTCTGAAGTGTTTTTTTCTTCTTCTTTAGCGTCGCTGTTGACTGATCCGAATATAGTGTCTGAACTTTTAAAGGATAACGAGGAAAGGGTTCGTGACCTTGTTGAGAAATATTCTATGAAAATGAAGGAATGTCACGTAAGGCACAGTTTGTCATTCTTTACACAGTGAATAAATACTCAAATGTACATTGATTTCTAAAGAAGAAAATCAAAAAAACACACTAATTGTAAATTTGCAATTTTAAGGAAAAAATTAAATTTTGAAAAAAGAAAAGGACGATGAAATTTTAAAGGTAATAAAGACAGTTCTCGTACATAAGTATGTTCCTTAGAAAACATTAATGAGACTTTTTGATGATTGTTTTGACCTTTATGTTTCAGATATCAGAAACCTTTTCAAAAGTTAGTCAGTTTCTAAAGAAATTAAAAAGATGACGATTATATTTTATCAAGATAAAGATGTATGAATAAATGGATATTTCCACAATCTAAGTCAATTATTGTCAGTTTTTGTTCACATCTTAAGGAAAAATATTAACATCTCGAGAAATACATATTTTGATGGTACTTATCGTTTGCCTCATGAAGAAACTCTACTTGTTTTCAGTTAAGTGGTCATGTAAAGCAACAGTGTGGTAAACCGGGGGAAGCGATTGTAGAGGCGACAAAAGAAGAGGGTGCATCAATGTTGATATTAGGAACAAGGGGAATGGGTTTAATCAGAAGAACATTTACCGGAAGTGTAAGCGATTATTGCTTACATCACGCAGACGTCCCTGTTTTAGTGTGCAGACATAAACCTCATATTAAACATACGAGTGATCATTACTCTTAAAAGTGCTCATTTTATATAACCATATAATAAACTTATACTTTACTTACACGTTTTGGCACGTGATCAAATACGACTTGTTTTTAAAGGGGACATAAGTCAATTGTCGCAGAGAAACTATCGAGCATGTTGAATTCAACAATTCAACAAAGATTCATTTAGTCATCTGTGTTCTTAGAATTCATGTTTATTTCTAAATCATGATTTGATACGAATACGTGTTGAAATTGAATAATGAAGATTGATTGAATACTGTTAATTTTAAAATGACAAAATGGATTGATAACGTCATATAATGATGTAAGTGCAACACATATGTTCGTAAAGAAAGAAAAACATGCTCTATTTACTGTCACTCGTGAAAAGACTCAATTCATATGTTTATTTATTTTAATTTTCATAATTTAACATTATCATCTTGTAATCATAGCTTTCAGTGGATGTAGCATTTTCAGATTGTGTGTTATTATATTAAAATGAATTTCATAAATGTTGAGGTTGATTAGAAGCCGATTTCAATAAAAACTGAATCAAACTTTCATTTTGTGAGTTATATTTTTTTTAATCAAAAGAAGATATTCCAGAGAAAGATGATTATTATATAAATATATATTTAAATGCATTTTAGTGAAATTGTACATTTCATAAGGTGGGAACGTTCTTGTTAACATCGTTATAATAACGCTACCTGTATAATCTATTTGTAAACATAAAAATATCTTGACCCTGAATTTAAATTGTTAAGTCTGATTTTAGAACGTTATATGAGGATTACAGTTCACAAACAGAAAAATACACTTTCATTTTATGAGTAAAAATGGATTAACCTTAGTAGGGCTTTTATTGAAAAGAACGGTTAAAATATATGTCTGCTTTTAAACTATTAAATAATTTAAGTGTCTTTTATATAAACGAAAATGTAGACTCTTCGGATAAGATAACTAAATGTCAATTACAGTGAAAGTTAAGTTATGTAATACGGCTTATTGAAAGTGTGTTTCTAAAAAGGAGGCTGTTTTGTTCCACTACTTAATTGCTAAAAAAATATATATAAGTACTAAATTCTTGTATTTGAAAATAGGTAAGATAATTTGACGAAACAAGTTTTCAAAAGTGCATGAAAACTTAATCAAAAGATAAAAGATAAAAGTGTTGATATATCGTATAATTAGTTCTCCTACTATTAACATTGTTCTTATAATTTGACTTGTTTATTTATCATCAAGAGAATAAGGCAAGTAGTACATGCTGTTTAAATATTTATATTCTGATTGTTGATCAAATATCTAGTTTCAATGCAAATTGTTCCTAATAACGTCCAGAGCTAACAAAGCAATACAAATATTTTCAAAGAGCATCAGATATTCAAGAATGGAAGACAATAAATGAGAGAGAGGGGGTCAAAGGAATGAACGGTTGCAACAGTATCAGTGTATCAACAACCCGCTCTATGTAAGAATCGAATGATTTGACGACATTCATTGAAAAAAATAAACAACCCTCTCGATTATTGATTCAAAACAAAAGCAACATATATTCAGCTATTGCAAAGGCATTTGTGTTGGCGTGTTTCGCATAATTACATTGTAAAAGTTATAATTTCCTCTTAGCTAAGGAATAAATCTCCGATTTTATGGCATTTTAGTGCCGTTCCTAGCCGTAATTGTAATGTTTTCCTATGTTTACGCAATGTGTAACTACTACACTACCTTCTTAACTTCTATCTTATTTAAGGAGGATCATATTATAAAATATAAAGGTAGTCGTAATCTTAATGTTTTCCTATGTTTACGTAATGTGTAACTACTATACTAGCTTCTTAACTTCTATCTTTTTTAAGGAGGATCATATGATAAAATATAAACGTATAATACAGTATGAAAAAAATCAACATTAGTTAATAATTGCATAGTTTTCAATTTGACAAAAATGTATTTAAATATACATTCCTTTTACTATAGACAAAATTGAAGTTGATCATGAGACGTCATATTTTACTGGGACAAATTAAAAGAAATCATATTAAACAATTTTATATCGTTTTGATAGAAAGGGCATTTGCTAGTTCAATAATATATGATAAAAGCAACAAGTGAACAAATGAAAATGAAGAAAACAATAACAACAACAGAACAGCAAAAAATCAAAATGAATGTCAGTTATTATAAAATGCAATGTAATATTTCTTTCATTTATATTTCAGATATTTTCATTATATACATTGTAATAGTTAGTAAGTAGTTACAAACAATGAGAAAGTAGATAAATAAAATGAGCCAAAAAAGACTAACATTTCATTATACTTGGCATTCTCATTTAGTTGAGCATCCCGACGTTTAAAAATATATATTGATGCACATATAAGTTACCCAAGTTAAAGTAGTTGTTTTTTTTAATTTTCTAAGAAAATAAGCATTCATGTGAAGAAGAGTAATAATAAAACCAAAATGATAGCCACTAGGGAAACAAGAATACCTGAATATCACTTTATCAATAGACTTTATCACGAAGTTAAATGATTTTCAACATGTTTTCGATATTTTTTACTTGTTAATTACCTGATTCCCAATATTGTTTTATGATGTATTTCTTTGCAGTGCTGCAAAGGACACCGACAGTGCGTGAAACATAATCAATTTAAAATATTTTTGTTTTATTTCCTTTTATCGCGTTAAGATGATTTAACCTCGGTATCTTCAATACAATTTAAATACCTATCCCGTCAAGTGCCGTATGAAATTACCAGAGTCTAGTGCTTCATCTTGGTTACTCTTGGTTTCAATGCGGTGAACTACTTTGTTCAAATTTTCCTGCTGGGAAGGTTGTGTTTGACTTATTGATTGATATTGATTGGCTGCATTTTTTAACTTTACCTTGTTGATATTTTAAATAATGTAATCGTTTTTAAACTACTGTCTTCCACAGAAAAACATGTCAAAACTTTAAAAAAAAACTATAATTATATTTTAAAAATCATTTTGCATGCATTATATACGATCTTGGAATCACCAAGAGTATCAGTATATATCCTTATAATGCTGTTCAATGACCCATTAATAGTACTTAATAGAAGAAATGAGCTGACATCTTAGGACAACAGGCCAATATCATGATCTTGAAGATTCGCTCTTATTTTATAATTACAGGAAATTAAAACTGCAAAGCTTCTCAGAAGTCATGGTGCTAAACTATTATTGTCATTTTGATCATATTATAAACTGACAATGTGTGATTGTATGGTTGCCTTCCGTTTTTCACTGTCAAGAAATTTAAAATAATTTATTTTACTATATAAAGTGTATAAAGTTTAGTAAAAAACACTATATAATCGAGGCACCCATTAAAACACCATTTCTCTGATTCTGTTGCCAATATGTTTTTTTCCATTATCTTAAAGGTGCTTCTTTACAATAATATAAGACCCAATGTCCTAACCCAAGCAAAATGTCTAAGGGAGTTCCGCTTGGCTGGTCATATTTTACAAACCGTTAAAGCACCATTTATCTGATTCCGTTACAGATTTGTTATAACATTACTTTTGATAATCTCCTTTAGGGCGATATAATGTCCTATGCCCTAATTTAAGCAAAATGTCCGGGAGACATCCGTGTGACATGGTTGTTGTTTTAGAACAGGCAGGGTCATTTCATTAATCGTTAATTTGTTCTGTCTGTATATACATTGTATAAAATTTCGGAAAAAGCACCATTTTCTCGAGCCAACCATTCTAACAACATTTGTCTGATTCCGTTGCGGATTCGATTTTGTATCAATTTTTAGTGTCTTCTTTGCACCATAAGAAGATTAAAGCTCTTATCTTATAAATATGACCCTGTGGCATGGTCGTTTTTTTATTCGGCGATTTATTCTTTTTGTATATAAAATATATAATATTTCGGCAATCGAACACTAATTGTCTGATTCCGTTGCAGATTCGATTTTGTATCAATTTGGATGGCTTTTTGTGTACTATAAGAGGACCAAAGCCCTTATGAAGATATAAATACCGGGACATTTCCGCGTGCCGTTTATAATTGTGGTTAAATGGTGTTTAAAAATCATGCACAGATAGCCATTTTAAAATGAACACTCTTTGAAAAAGACCTTGTAGATTGAAGTAGTTTTGAGGATCTTTTACGCAGCAATATAAGGAAACCGCAAGGACAATGACAAAAAAGAACTGCGTAAAATGGTCGAGTATTGGACCGGGTATTAGATCTTTCTGTATATAAATTGTATAATTGTCGACAAAAGCACCATTTACTCGAGCAAACCGTTCAAACAGCATTTGGCTGATTCCGTTTGAAATTCAATTTTGTATCAATTTCGATCGTCTACTTTCGATCATAAGAGTACCAAAGCCCGAATCCAAAACAATGTCCATGAGGTTTTCGCATTGCATTGTCGTACATAAATGTTAAAAAGAGCACCTTTTTCTCGAGCCAACCGTTCAAACAGCATTTTGTTAATTGCGTTCGGGATTCGATTTCAACCGCCTTTTTTGCACAATAAAAGGTGTAAACCCCTTATCCAAGAAATATGTCCGTGAGATTTCCGCGTGACATGTTCATTTGATGAACCGCTGATTTCTTCTTTCTGTATACAATTGTTCGAAGAAAAGCACAATTTTCTCGAGCCAACCGTTCAAACAACATTTCTCTGATTGAATTCGGAATTCGATATTGTATCAATTTGAAGCGTCTTGTTTGCACCATAAAAGGTCCAAAGAAGCCCTAGTCCAAGAAGTATGTCCGTGAAATTACCGCGTGTCATGGTCGTTTAATTTTGTTGGTGATTTGATCTTTCTGAATATAAATATTCTAAAAAAGCACCATCTCGAGCCAACCGTTAAACACCATTTGTATGATCGCCTTTCGGATTCAATTTTGTATTATTTTGAAGCGTCTTCTTGGTACACTTAAGGCCCAAAGCGCTTATCCAAAAACTATGTATGTGAGATTTCAGCGTGGCATGGTCGTTTTATGAATAGGTGATTTGATCTTTCTGAATATAAATATTCTAAAAAAGCACCATCTCGAGCCAACCGTTAAACACCATTTGTATGATCGCCTTGCGGATTCAATTTTGTATTCGAAATTTGATTTTCTTGAGCCAACCGTCCAAAAACGATTTGCCTGATTGCGGTCGCAATTGATTATGTATCAATTTTAAGCGCCCTAATCCAAGAAAAATGTCCATGAGATTTCTGCATGGCATGGTCGTTTTATGAACAGGTAATTGGTTCTTTCTGTATATTAATGCTAAAAAAGCACCATTTTATTGAGCCAACCTTTTATACACCATTTGTCTGATTGCGTTCGGGATTCAATTTTGTATCAATTTAAAGTGTCTTTTTTGCATCATTAGAGGCCCAAAGCCCTAACCCAAGAAATATGTCTGAGAGAATTCCACGTGGTATGGTCGTTTTATGAACCGGTAATTTGTTCTTTTTGTACATTATTATTTTCGAAAAAGGCACTATTTTCTCGAGCCATCAGTTCAAACACCATTTTTCTGATTGCGTTCGAAATC